CTCTCTCTCTCTCTCTCTCTTGCTATGTGGATGTGTGCGCGCGCAATTTCTCCACCGTCTCCTCCGCTTTTACTTTTTCTTCTCGCTCTCCCCGCTGGAAGCTGCTGGCGACACAACAGCAAGAAACACGTAACGAGTAACAGAGCAAAGGAGAAACTAGCGGAGGGGGTGAAAGAAGCGGGCTGCGAGACGGGGACTCCTCTCGGCCGAAGCAACTGAGAGTGTGGAAGGGGCGCGGAAGCAGTCAAGCGAACCCCGCGGAAGAGGCGGAAAAGGGCGAAGTAGGCGCGGTTGCTCCTCAACTCCCCCGGCGTGGCGCGCAGGTGCGTTGCAGGCAAAGATGGGCCAACCAAACGGCAAGGAGGCCAAGATGGTGAAGCGGGGCGGCAGAGCTGACAACGCGCCTGTTGTGGGCTACGGCCGCCCCAGCAACTCCACGGGCGGCCAACCCGTCGGATTGCGCACGGGAGCCATGCGGGAGAATATTCTGCAGCAACCCGCGCATCACCGCGACCCCACGACGGAGGTCACCCTCTCCCCCGCCGGCGGCGGAGGGACCAAGCGCAATAGCACCGTCCACACGGGGGAGTCTCTCCTGAAGCCGAAGAAGTACCCCATCGTTCTGCGCTACGCCGACAAGGACGCCAAGCGGCTGCTGCTCAACAAGCAGAAGATGTACGTTTCGATAGAGGCGCTAGAGTGGCGCCCGGTGCTGATGTCTCCCAGCGAGGACTCCTTCTACGCCATCGTTGAGCTCTCGCCCGGCAGCCACCGCTACCGCTTCCTCGTCGACGATGAGGAGGTGGTCGACAGCACCCAGCCCATTGCGGACCCGCCGCACGACGGCGCCAGGGATGACCCGGCAAATCTTCTGCGGCTTAACGAGGTTCTCTTGACCACCAAGGAGGACAAGGAAATTATGGACGACGGGGAAGGCTGGGGGCAGAACCACGAGATCTTCGAGGAGACGCGGAAGTACCCGCCCATCGTGCCGGTGCACTTACGCTACACGCCACTCAACACCCCGCCCACCGCCGTGCGCTGCACCCGCGACGGTGTCATGTCGTCGGCGGGCGAAGTCATGCCGCCGGAGCACCTCCCGCTGCCGTTGAACGTGACGATTAACCACGTCTACTTCCAGCGCCGCGAGGACCACTCCGTCATGGGGCTGACGACGCGCTACTGCAACAAGTACACCACCGTCGTGTACTACTCAAAGCTTGGGGCACAGGGCGGCTGATTGCGTCCGGCAGGTGAAGGAGGGGGGGAGAGAAGAATCGCGGCCAAAAAAAGAAATAAATAAATAAATAATAATGATAAATATCAAATGACAAAAAAAAGGGAAAAGGTTGAGAAATGGTGGTGAGCAACAGCGCACGAAGGAATACGAGTAAGCAACGGCTGAGGAATAATAACAAGTTAAAGACGAAAGAGAACAAAACCAAAAAAAAAAGAATGGCGACAAAGAAGGAGGGGGGAAGTCATTGATTGCTTGAAAAGTGGTGATTGCTGTGGATGAAGCAGTTGGTGTTAGGCAGCGAGAGGGAAAAGGTGTGTGTGTTTGTGTGTTTGAGTGTGAGTGTGTGTGTGTTTCAGTCTTAGTTGTAGTGGCGACATGCTTCTGCACACGTATTGCTAATGTGTTGCCGCGGATTCTGCGCGAAGGCCCACACCTGCATGCAAGCGAGAGAAAAGGGGTGGAATGAAGAAGCAAAATGCGTGTGCGCTCTCCCTAATTCCCGCTATAAAACTCTTTCCTCTCTCTCTCTCTCTCTCTCTCTCTCTCTCTCT